GGGAAATGCAGCTGGAAAATTAAGAGACCACATCTTTCAAATCTCTTACACTAAGACATGACTGTGAGAATACAGATGTGGCTTCACAGACTCCACTGCACACCCTCCAGCAGACCAGAGATGAAAACATTCAATCTCCAATTTAAAGCTGACCCACACACAGTAAATTGACTTTCAGAAATTCAGACCTCAACAGCTGGGTTAATAACACAAACTTCCTTCTGCAACTTCTGGAATTGAGGCCATTTAAAAGAAAATATTATCAACTAATAGAATAAATATTTCTGCAGTCTGACAACCTTTCATATACCATTTCAATTTATTCCTACAACAAATTGATTGATACTTACTGAAAAAATGCATAGTAAATTGCTTTGCTAATCAAAGCAACTGGAGACATGGATTTGCATAGTAAGCAAGGATTATGCAAAGCAATGTGAGGTTCCTAAAACCTTTATCCACATGACTCAGAAAAAACACAGAATCTGAGCAGGGTAATTACCACAGTGCTGGATTAATGCTGCTCCCTTTTTTTGTACCAGTATTTCAAGGGTTTTTGTGACTGACTCAGCTACATTCCACTTTGAACTCTTCCTGGGTTAACCCCACATCACCTGACTTCAGAGGAAGGAGGAATTTAATCACAGACTCCCTATTTCACAACCACACACTAAATCTGTCACCCTCATAAAATACAACAAAACATACTTATTATTTTTTACAGATTTCTTTTTCAATAATCACCCACATAGAAGACTTTTATTATGCTACAAAAGCCACTGATCCACAGCTTATTTCAGTAACATCGTTAAGCAAACATATGTGGGCAGAAAAGCAGAACCCAATAAAAGCTATTAGTCCCTGAGTGAGGCTCACTGTTTTATCAGTGCAGGCTCTCTTGCATGACATTGCATGGCTGGCACTGATGCCATTCCAATTAATTATAGCCACACAAACCAAATGCTTGCAATTGTGCCAGCAGAAGTTTAAACTCCTCTAGGAGAAAAATGATTAAATACTTCAGGGAGAAACAAATAACAAATCCCTTTTGTTACTGCTACCCATGACAACTTCTCTGCTAAGCTAATAGAATCCAGTGGTTAGATTACGAGTCTGTGAATTTAAGAAAGCTTCAAGTTCACACTCTTGTGCACATTAGCAAGTTAGTGCAGTGCACTGAGAGGGGACCTGCAGAGCAGTTCTGTAGATGTGCTGGCAGTTTGACACCCACATGTAGATGTGCTGGCAGTTTGACACCCACACCTGCAGTAAGTGCAAACACAGTAAATGCATCTCAGATTCACTGAAGTCCTGCTCTGAAGAGTGTCCATTAGCAGTTGGACAACACCAGGCTTGCTCCTGAAGTGCACCTTTCAGTTTAGTTTCACTCAAGAGAAAGAGAAACTATACACAGTGTTCTGAGACAGATCACTGCAAACCAAAGCACATCCCTGAACCAAACCAAAGCACTGATGTAAATGCTCTCCATGTGTTCTGGCTTAGGCCAGTGCACCCAGACATCCCACTCACCTCATAGTTCCTGGCATTGGTATTAGCTGCCTTCTCCAGCTCGATGCGAGCTCGTTTGTGGCTCAGCTCCATCTGCATCTTCTCCCGTTCCACCTGCAGCAGCTGGGATTTGGAGTGGATCTGCCCAGCTTGTTCCTCCAGCTGGCCAGTTCACATGTGAAAAGGGACATTGCACACCATTAACAGCACAACAGTATCATCACACCCTGTACTGCTCAGCTGACATTGACTTCCCATTTTACAAATTATCACCACATTTGTGGTACCTCTCACACCAGCTGCAGATGGGGAAACTAAGAGATCAACACCACGCTCAGAAACCCACATCAAACCAAGGTGAATTGGAAAGAAATTAATTCCCAGTTTTTAAGTCAGAATTTCTCAATCTCTAGATGTAGTTTGACAAATCTACTTCTCTATCTAAAAAGCTAATTATGAACTCCCCAAGCCCAAGAAGAACAGGTTATGCTCCCAGTAAAACATAATGGCTTCTTCTACAACCTCTACAACATTATACTTCATTTTTTCATTCAAATGACCTGAGAGCATAGACAATACTAACAGAACTGCTCACATCCTGGTGATGTACATCCAACAGTAGAGACTCTAACCAGAGAGAGCCTCCTGCAAATACTGCTGCCACCAGAGATGTAGCACAGACAGAAAAAGCTTAAATTTTTGTCAGCATTCCAAATGCAAAGCAGATTTACATTAAAAACAGCAAACTTATTTTGTACTTACAGGCTGAAATAGAAATTACATTAAGATACAGAATAGAGAAACTTCATTCCAGCCTAATAAACAGTCCCTGGGATCTAAGATGTCAATTTACTTTATGCATTATGAGCCTGAAGCAGCTAACAGAATTTAAAAAAGTAAACCCAGGTGGATACAAACAGAGGTGGGTAAGAAAGCACAATTGGTTTTTATATCAAAGCCACAGGTCAATGCAGGTCTCCTGGATATGTCCAGGCAAAGCCTGGAAAAAGGTAACAAAGTATCTTACTAGAAAAATGTTAAGATATAAAGCTCCTTTGTTCATCAATATGTAAACAACTCAAAATTTAATTTCCTGAGGTGGTACACAGATACAACTAGCAGGGAGTAAATTCAAAGGACTTTTCTTAAACTTTTACAAAATAGAAATCAATCTGACACTGTAAAAACAAATCAAATATGTTTTGGAAAAGATTCTGGAATGGTGACAGCAAGCTTCCTTCATTGAGTTTGTGTCAATTTCAGAACATCAATTTCAGAAAGAACAGTCAGACCTGAATGAACCAACTCCTGGAATCAAAAGGAGCACACAACTAGAGTGAAGTGATACTGCAGGAATCACCAAGATGAGGACTCCTCACCTGCATCCTCTGCTGGTACTGCATCTGTAAGGAGCTCTGAGATGATACTGGTGTAGCCAGCCCAGACACTCCCTCCATACGCTGTGAAATGAAGTTATTGAGGGATCTCAGGGTGGAGAAGACAGTGGTATTATTTTCCAAGTCCTCCATGGCTCTGGAAATGGACAGGAAATCATCAGAAAAACACTCAGAGCAAGCTACACTGCTAAAGAGGGATCCATCACTGCCCTGAGGAAACACTAAACACAAGGTCTTGCAATTCACAGGGTAAAATCAATCTGCAAATCACTGCTGGGATCCACAGAAAACATGACCACACCCAGGCTGAAGTTGTAGTTTTCTCTGAAATGAGACAAAGACGCAATACAGACTTTTCTTCACTGACCAAACCAAACTTATTATTGTTCCCACAAATTTTTGAAGCTGATGGGAGCAGAACTAACTCCAGAGTAGCCGCAAAGCCTTCCTGCTACACAACTTATTTCTGGTTTCCCAGAAGCACTTTGGACTCTAATTTCCAACAAGAAGTCCTCTCAAGTCCACTGATCGCTTGTACAAGGGAAACTGCATCTCATCATTCATACAATGAGATGCAGCTCTTCCTTCCCATCAAACGGGTACTAACTAAAAGGCCAAAGATAAACCAAGCCTGGAGCTCAGAAAAGCCTGCAAGGTTTCCCAGGAGATTTCAGGAAGCCTTAGGTGAGTTCCTCCAGTGACTGCACGCTCACCAGCAACACCGGGAAAGGTCCAGGAGCAGGAAAGGCAGCCAGAGCATGCACATGGCTTGTACCACGGCCAGAGAGCGGGGCTGCCTCCGGGCTCCTGCACCCCCGGGGTCACACAGCACTTCTTGTCTGGATTTACAGCGGCACGACGTGGAGGTGAATCAGAGGCGCAGTAGCAACAGATCGGCCAAAACCCAAACTGAGCCCTGGAGTACCAAACGCACCTGTCGAACAGCAAGCCTGTTCTCAAACCTACTAACAATTAAGATGACACTTAGATATGTGACCCGGTCCGGTTCAGAAACCCCCGTGGCCAAGGCTCCCTCGGGGCACGCAGGGACCCGCGGCGGGCAGCGCACACCGACAGCGGCCGCGGCGGGCACGTAGCAGCTCCGGGCAGCGAGGGGTCCGCCCGCACAATCCCCGGGGTAAGAGCGGGGCGGGACAGGCGCGGCCGGAGCCCTCCTGCTCTCCCGGTTCCCCCCGTCCCTGCCCCTTTCCCGTCACTCCCGCAGCGCTCACCGCCGCGCGCCCCGCTTGGATCTCCCTCCTCACCACGGGATCTCGCGGGAACTCCGCGCCCGCCTCTCGCGAGAACGGCGGCGCCGACAGCCGTAATGGCGGCATTACGCGCGCAGCATTCCGCGTGCTACCGTAATGCCCCGACAAGGAGGGATGAAGCTTGGAGCTCGGGCTGCCCCCCCAAAAACCGCCCCGCGCCCTCCTGCTCCAGCAGGGATCGAGTCAGCAGCCCCAAATGAGCTGCTGATGATGAGAAAGGCCTGGGAGTCTTAGAAATAGCCACTCATATAACTCATGCCACAGTCAGCCTGATAAAAGCACTATTTAATACAATATTTGTCACTTTCAGATAAGGCAGCAGCTAAATTTGTTTGTGCAAACAGATTTCCGACAATTCAGTCATTCTCCCTACTGGGATCTTCGGAACATCTTGTCTTATTGCCTAAGAAACACCAATGGTCACACCTAAAAAGCAGGGGAGGTGAAATGCACAGCCATGACCCTGTCCCACTGCCATTGACTGGATTTAGGAGTGCCAGGAAGCAGCAATTCCTAAACATAACCTGTGTCTGTAGGAGAAGCAGCAGAGCCATGGGGCTGAACATTCCCATGTCAGCCATGCCTCTCACATGGCTGTGCTACACATCCCGCATGAGGATGCAGATCCTGATGTGCACAGAAACATTTGCTGTTTTTACCTGTGCTAATAAATCACACCAGCTTCTAAAAGGCATTGAATTGGCTCAAATTTGGCTCCTTTGCTGTTCCCTCACATCCTAACAATCACATCCATGGTTAATCTCATGTATGACAGCATTAACAGTGCAATGATTTTCATTTTAAAAAGGCACATATTAAAAACTCATATAATCAGCATTTTATTTTCATTTCCATTACTCCAGAGTTTGCCTTTCAGATTATTCCTCTCCATTCCCAACCATTTTGTCCGCAAGTATTTGAAAAGCTTTATGGACTTAAAGAAGAGTAGCAAATTTTCCCAGGGTCTTAATGGTGGGATTTTCCTTTAAACACCCACTAAATTGAGATTTCCAATCAATGTCAGAGAATCTGCAGTCCTTGACTTTCATTTCCCTCTGTACAGCCTTGCCAAGTAATAAGATTCCGCAGAGTCCTTCCGGCTGGCCTCAGGCTTTATAGTTCTCACATCCTGGAACTGTTCCTTCAGTCTGTTTTGCAGGAGACGGGCCTCAGATCCATCCCAGAATTTACAGAGCATTGTTCCTTTTGGCTTTAAAATGTGTTGGGATATATCCAGAAGGCTTAAACACAGACTGACCAGCTTCTGATGATCCAGTTCTTTAATGCCTGTGGCGTTGGGTGCCATGTCACTCAGGATGACATCTGCCTTCCCCAAGGGAAGCAGGCTCTGGATTGCCCTCAGTGTGCTGGGGTCTGCGATGTCCATCTGGGACAGGAAAACTGCTCCTTGCAGAGGAGAAATCCACAGCAGGTCAACGCCAAGCACAAAGCCAGTGGGGACAGCAGGATCTGTAAAGGATCAATGACACAGAGAATGCTCAGAGAGGCTGCAAAAACCTGCACATGCTCAAGCTTTGTGCCAGTCAACAGACAAAACCCACCACCTGTCACAGCTGCCTTCTCGTCCCCTGGAAGTTTCCTGGGTGCGTCTGGGTGGAGGGTTTGCCATTAGCTCATCCGTACAAGACAAAAACTCAGCTACTTTGGATAAACAAGGGGAATTTTTCTTGGTTTTCTGCTGCTCTTTCCAGGCTGACAGTCCAAAAACCCTGGATAATGGTGCAGATGGTAACACCTCATTTTATAAATATCAATGTCTTCACCTTTCAAATAAACCATGCGTAACAGTCGCTTCCATTTTTTGAGAAGGGAAATAATATTTCAAATAAGCCAAAGTAATTGCTGGAGGTCACACCAAGATCAGAACTGGATAAAGGGATCTTCCCCACAACAGCTAATTAGAACACTAGCACCACATGGTATGTTTTATTTCATAAACACAATTTCTCTGTATGAAGACATACTAGGCTCACCCCTTCATGTTTTTATCACTGACTCTGGCACTCGCCAGTACCCACGTCCCCTCCCCATACTGTTACCATCATAATACTTCCTTGGTTTCATAGTATTTTGATTTAGATCCCATAGTATTTCGCAGATTTTTCATACACTTCAAGAGGAGTATCATCCCCATCTTGCCTGCCAGAAAATTGCACTTACCAGTACCTAATGCATTGACCCTCTCTACAGCAACCTGGCTCCAAGCACCAGGTGCTGCTCCACAGTCAAGAACAGCAAGTCCTGGACGAAGAACACGGAGCTTGTTATCAATTTCCAGCAACTTGAAGGCACTTCGGCAACGGTAATGCTGCTGCTTCGCTGCCTTGACAAAGGGATCCTTCAAGTGCCGCTCCAACCACCTCTGCTCAGCTCCAGTTTTCCTCAGAAGCTTCACCGTGGTGTGCAGGCATCTGCTCATCCAAAGCCTACAGCTGCCAGGAAGAGAGGCAAGTCAACCAGCTAGTACATAAGCACTCTATTTCAAAAGCCTCTATAGTAATTAATCCCAGGCACTACAGGCTGCCCAGGGAGGCTCAGTCTCGCTGTCCAGAGACATTTGAAATACAGCTGGACGTGTTCCTATGCCACCCACTCCAGGTGACCCTGCCTTGGCATGGTCATTGGGCTAGATGGTCTCCAAAGGTCCCTTCCAACCCAAACCATTCTGTGATTCTAAAAAGAAGCCCCCAAATTTGAGATTTTTGGCACCTTTACTTATCAGATCTTATCACAACAGCAGGGCCAGATTTTGGATGAGGCCTCATCTGTTATCCTGAGGCAAAGGAGGAAAGGGATCCCACTCCAGCTTCTGCTCTGCGGTTTTAAGGACCCGACAAGGCAGAGTGTCCCCAGCACGGTCCTGTGCTCCCTCTGAGAGCCCCTCGGAGGAACGGAGGGATGCCCGATCTCCTGCAAGCTCCTGGCAGAGCAACCAAGAGCCACGGTCCCTGCCAGGGCGAAACCACCGCACGGCATTAACCTAAAACCCCAAACGCACATTAACCCACTCCCGAGGGAAACTCCAGGCGCCGGCACTAATGACACCCCGCCATCCCTGGGCGCCAGGATCGCCTCAGCGGCCGCAGCACGCACCTTCCCCCGGCAATGGCACAGGGCCC